ACGGACCTTGTTGATACAGCTTACTCTACCCATCCGTCTTACACAGGTCCACAAATCCACATTCCTTCAGGTATCACCGAGAACTTAGCCCAACCTCATATTGTCGAACTCCCACACAACACCTTACATCATGAATTATGATGATTGGTCTAAGAAGAGTTCCCCATGAGTTGTAAAGGCAACCTATTCATCAGTGGGACTTTCATGAGTCATCATCTCTGACTGAAGCCATCCTTCAACATCCTAATTAGGCAAGCTTCAAATTATCGAGCATTGATTCTTACGATGGGACATCTAACCCTTATAAGCATATCGATCACTATATAACCATTATGAATATCGAATGAGCCTCAAATGCGCTCATCTACTAAGTTTTTCTAGCTACCTCCAATGGAAAAGCTTAAACATGATTTTATTTGCTTCCAGCTAGAACCATTCCTATGTTCGTTAAATTGGCCAAAGTGTTCGTCAAACAATTTATTGTCAATCAGAGAATTATTAAGGATTCTTCTCACCTCCTAGGAATTTTCCAAAGTGAAAGTGAATCCCTTTAAGAATACTTTCAAAGATTTTCTACTGAGCCTTGACAAATTTGAGGAGTGGATCTTGAATTGCTTAGAGGAGTTTTTTTTAAGGCTTCGTCCTGGCTGTTTTTACTCAGTACTCATGCGAGACACAGTTCATTCATATGCTAACCTGATCCATCATGTAGAGGTGCAAATCTCTATATATGAAATCATCAATAATCATAAAAATTAGTTTAATAAATAAATGAAAAGTGCAAAAGTGTACTATGGACGGATAATGCATCCTCTTAGCAAAAGAAGAAAAAAAAAATTAAAACTTACCCTCTTGACCCTCGCAACTGTGACGTGATACTATACAAGAAAAGGAGTATATGCCTCTTAACATATCTCGAGAAAATGTATTAATGGCCATCAATATTAGGAAAGTATGAAGTGGTTGAATCCTTTAAAGCCAAATATTAAAAATTAGGAGAAATGTTGTCACTTCCATCGTAGCAATGGACACACAAGTGAAGCATGTAGACAGCTTTGTGATTCTCCTTAACAGGCAAACTCCTTTTAAAAAGCCTCAGATAAAGAATACATTACTACTTCAGAGCCTTCACTTCTATAGCATATATATGATTGTGAGCCTCCTTAACATGATCCTGAATTTTTTTTTAAATGCTATAGACTTCTTGAAATCTTCTATTGCTTTTGGAGAACCTAATCTAGATTGGACCTTTGACAGAGCAGCTTCTTTCTTAGCTATAAGACTCTGAAATCCCTTGCTCTCATCTTCAAGGGTTGTTATTTTCTTTCCAAAGATATGCGGATCCTTCATATGTTAATTTATCATCACTTAGACATCCACTATATCAAGTGGAGTCAATTTATCTGCTAATTATGTAAAACAATAGAAGACAATGGTAGCCAACTTAACTCTACACTCAGCCAAATGTTCTTCCACTACCTTCATCTCTTTAGTCTTATGGTCATACTCTATTTTGTACTCTCCTTAAAGATATTTGATCTTAAAAAATTCATTGTTACATTCATTCAAGGGTTGAGTAAGCCAGACCTCAAGATCCATGCATCCTAATAACTGAAATAATAAGGTAGTATTTTTAAGAGATGTGTCTTTATAGATGTATAAAAAAGACGGAACAAAGAAGAAATAGTTACTCACATTGTCATCAGCTTGACGATGTCTGACACATTGATGATTCAACGCATCCTTTGGAATATGAAACTTGGTAGAGGAGGAGCTTGAGAGAACTTAACTAGTGCTTGTTGAAATCCCCTCCAACTTCTTCTTCTTAAATAAAGCTTAAGGATCATCATTATTTACTAATTATTTAAAAGTGTCATTTGAAGCTGGGATAGGTGGCTCCTGAGCTTTCATTGACTTCTTTAGCATGGTAATAGTAGATCTCCCCTCTTGGATGGATAATCCAACTTTAAAAAAGAAATCTTCATCTATGTATTTACTCAAGTAGCATACCTCAAAGAGAAGATATTTACCATCAAGAATCTTAAGCATCTTTTATAAGCTTTCTGCTCTAGCATGCAGAGGAATGAGTCAATCCTTCATCTTTCCCCATTTCTCCAAATGACCCCAGTCAATTTTATGAAGAAAAATGCACTAGCTCAACTCTTTAATGGATTTCGGGTATGAATATTCAACCATTTTGATTTGAATGTAATGTGTCCCTGTGCATCGTAACTGTCCATGATCTCTAAAGAAAGTGATAAATCTCACCATGATATGACTCTATATGAAAATATAGATAAACTTAATCCACATATTGTTGAAATATCGATCAATTCTAGAGGAGGAAATTGCATCCCCACTCACAAACTGATCTCATAAATAGTCAGTTGTCTTGGAGGAGTAAGGCATGCACGATCAGATTTTTTAGGAGCCATCAGCATTAAATTGTTAGTATATTGGAACATCTTGTGAAAAACAATTAGAGAATCATTGATAATAATAGAAACCACATCGTGAGCTTTGGCTACCTTGTAGGATTTCTTTAGATCATCATTTTCTACAGTGGATCGTGGATCTCCTTTGTACATTGGGGGAGGGGTGGATTTTTTAATGCTCAAGGGGGGTATTTATAGTTGTAGGGGGTGAAGTTTGAAATTATTAATTTTTAGATTAAAATAATAATAATAATAATTAAATAATATATATATCACCAACCATCATCGGACCACCACTAAACTTCTGCCTAGCTACCAATCATTATCAAACCACTTCTAGACTTCTATCAGTCCACTAGACGATGCTGGACTTCTAACCGGCCGTCAATTGTCACCACACTTTTGCCCGACCACCAAATTTTGTTGTGCTTTTACCCATCCACCAAGTGTCTATGTAGTTCTGATTGATCATCGAATGCATCGAACTTCTGCCTAACTCCTTAAACTATTGCAATTTCACTCTCTCCAAATTAAAGGACACATCTCACGTTGTAATTAACTCGAATTTAGTTGAATCTTTTCAACTGGGCGTGGCCCCATGGTTTTTCTTCTTTTTTTTTCAAGATTTTTCATGTTAAAAATCTTAGTGTTTTATTATCTCTTTTTGTGTGCTAGATATTCATGAAATGCTAAGAGGGAAAATTTCCTCACTATATTGCCACCTATATTCTAGCCCGTAACAATATTATAATGAATTATAAATGATAAATTTCATGGTTGAAGTTTTTTAAATTAATTTTTTAATATTTTTTTAAATTTCATGGCTAAAGTTTGAGAAGCTTTTGAGACGAAGGAGTTCTCTTAAAAAGATCAATTGTGATATGTTTGTTTGTTCTCCTTTAAAAAGGATACGATATGCTAAGAGTCCAGTACAAATCCTGATGTTGATATTAGGAGTTCAAGTTGGTGGTTAAAGTATGCATTTGATCTTATTAGTAATGGCATGAATTGATATTATTAATGATTGCTCATGACAAAGTCAGTAGGCATTAGTATTGGTAACAATGGAGTTCATTAAACTTAAAAATGATTGTGTGATTAAAGGCATTAGCGTTGGAGTCAATGGCCTACATCGACATTAAAGGGGATGGTATATGTTATCGTTGTGGGCAACAACAAGCAATCAAGTCTACTTACATAAACTTTTATGTCAATGGGGTGCATCAACCTTATAGGTGATGGCATGCATTAATGCTATTAGTAATTGCGAGCAATAAAGCTAGCGAACATGGACATTTATGTTGATAGAGCACAACAACCTTACTAACGATGGTGTGCATATACATTATTGGCATTGACAAGCAACCAACAATTTTATCTAGGGTGTGCATAAGCCTAATAAGCAATTATTTGAATCAATGTTATTAGCAATGTAGTCAACAGGAGATGATAGTTGGGCGATGAAGATTGTGCAATTGTGATAAAAAAATTATAATCAAGTAACAGTGATTGATTCACGATGATCATAGAACTTTAATCGAGTGACAATACTAACGAGATCCTAGTTGAGCAAGGACAATAATTAGCAATGATTGTCAGTGTTAATTGTCATGTGGAAATGCAGAGGGTCTATATAAATTTTCTTTAGTGAAATTTTGATAAATTTAACCTAATCATCAACGAGTGTTGATTCCCTCAGTCACAGATTTGTATACTCACATTTAAATCTCTTAATGACCACTGAATTAAATGATCATAAAGTTATTTAATTTCTCTTATAAAATGCTCATTTTGAATGCAAACATGGCTAATAATAGACCTTAAGAAAACTCTTGCAGGCATTCTCTGATTTCAAAAGCTCTTCCAAGCATTTTAGAAGCGGTTGTTGTCTATATTTACAAAGTAGGATTAAATATTATCATTACCGAATAGATTTCAAAATTATTATCCCTTGTAACAAAAAAAATCAAACTATATGTAGATTTATATAGATAACCTTCTATTTTATACAAGCCTAATTATTTGTCCTGGTTGGTTTGATTGGTTGGGCAAACTCAATCGCTAAATGTTTAAATAATAGGAATAATTTGGGCAATGCCTAATGCATAAACCTAACTAATAAAGAAATTCTAAACATGATAAATACATCTCAGTTATCTGGTTGTTGAACTTATGTGTCAGAAAGAGAGAGCCTTTTGAAGTGCTATAACAATGACTTGGAACATCCATTTTAGAATACAAAATGTAGCAAATTAGATAATATTTAATATAAACTACAAAATACTTCAATTTAAGAACATTTCTTTGTATAATCCTTTAATTTCTATTTAAACAGCTTATAATTTATAACAAATATCTCTCAACACATTTCTCTAGTATAATTTTCAACAGAATAATGAACTGATTACTTCAAAACAGATACATACATACCGTATAAAAAAAAGCCAATTCATCATCCAAACGACAAACTTTTGCTTTGGCAAATCCTACTTGCATACCGAAGAATATAATGCAGCTTCTGCTGTTAATTTGGAAGCTTAGTTGCTTTCTTTGCTTGTTTCAGGGTTCAATGAAGTGGCAGATGAAAATATTTAACAAGATGAGCAATACATATTTAAAAACTGTATATAAACTCAGTAATTTAAAACAAAACAGTAATCCCAAATGAAGATGATAAAAATCATTGTCAAAACATAATCCAACTCTTGGAAAACAGTGTGCATAAACCTAATATAACCTAAGATTCAAACAAGTCTTTAATATTAGTTGGTAGCAGGTACACATAAAACTTCCACAGAGTCTGTCATGATGGCTGTATTTAACCAAGGTAAGTCAAATATATCATTCAAGTTCCATCTTCGACTTCACAGAGCTTTCTTCGGGATGTCTGCCTTATGAAGGCACTGGAAACAATAGAAAGAATGGGAAAGTAAGATATGGCATTGATGCTAACAAATTTAATAAAAAAAAAGGGGAAAACTGAAATTGAGAGCAGCAACAAGCGGTGAAACTGAGACAAACTGACTGATGAGTTCAGTCAACTCGATGAACTAATGAGCCAACTTCAATCCAACTCTTTAGCTTGTGAACTTACACAATAAAAAAAAAAGTTAATATAAATTTTCTACGATATATTAGAATTCCATGGTTAAGTACAAACTTACTGAAAATATTTAAAAGTTTTCTTCCATATCTCAAGGGATTTCTTATTATTTTAATTCTATATTCAAATATTTTATTACAAGTACTTTAATCGGAGTCGTATTCTCTCTTTTTCATAATAAATAAGTCTACTCATGAGCCGACTTTAACTTATTAAATTGAGCTCGAGTTCAAGCTTAAGTTCAATTAATTAATCAGGCTCAAACTCTGCTCAACTTTGTCTACATCCCTGGCAAGAGCACAACACAGATTATAAATAATAAATCTACAAGTTCGAAGCGTACCTGTAAAGGCTGAAAATTATGGATGTAACAGCAGTAAAAACACCCCAATAATATTTCCCCACAACTCTCCTATAGCACACTCCCAAATTAACCTACCAACTTACATGAGAATGGACAATAAGGCCTAAGGTGCTAAGAGTTAAGCAAGTACTAAAGGAACTGTTTGGATGCAAGTATTTCAAATACATGAAATATTTTAGGCTGTTTGATTTATAATAAAATAAATTTGGAATACCAATTTTGATATTTAGATGTTTGTAAAATAAATCAAACACTTTTATTTTTTGAATTAATATTCTAGGGCATGGCAATTGGGTTCTACAGAACAAGGGAACGAGGGCCAATTGAAATCAGAGTCTATGGGGATGGCAAATCCAGGTACGGACCTGATGGTTATGGGATAGGCACCAAAGGTTTCAGGGAGAGGTGTCAACGGCTTTGGGAATCGATGTTGATGAATTCGACAGCAGTGCTAAAAAAATCAGCACAAGGCTATGCCGAATGGGAACAAATGTTCAGTTCCTGCGAATTTGATGTATTCCAGATTCATCAGGTCTGAGCAAATTCGAAATACTACTGCAAATGACCTATTTGGGGAGTTTCAAATTCCATAAAAAAACTATGATTTGCTTACTCTCAACCAAACTTAGAAAAATTTAAGAGTCCTACATTTCAAATGCAATACACTCAAAATACCTATAATCACATAACCCCTAAGGGACAATGGGTTGCAAAGAATCTTATCAGAAATTAAAACCTGGTAACGGTGCTGCTTCACAAATTAAGTATTGTTTCCGGTGAATAATGATTAAATGTTTGAAATAAACGGACAACCGCTTCAAAAAATGGCTATAACGAGTCAACTTACTGTATGTGGAAGTATCTATTTGCTCAGGCAATTCCTTAATGTCCACTTCAAATCTTGCTTGAACCTATAAGAATAGCAATTATTTATTAAATAATTACAGACTGCCTCTTCTGAAATCAAAAAGCTACAAAAAGAAAAAAAAAAACATTAAACCTGATTAAGAACATCTGAATCGGAAGCTGAAGAGACAAAGGTAATAGCCAGACCCTTGGTGCCAAATCTGCCAGCCCTACCAACCTGTGAAATGCAATGTTTGACAGGTCATCAAATGACATAAACAATTAGGCTGCATCTCGAAGAAAATCATACCCTGTGCAAGTAAGTATCCGCAGAATCAGGCATGTCATAGTTAATCACAATGTTTACACGCTCAATGTCAATTCCCCTGCCAACCAGATCAGTAGCAACAAGAATCCTTTTGTGTCCTTCCTTGAAGCCCTTGTACCTTGTTAATCTGCGAGAATAAAAAAAAAAATTCAATCTAAACTTGATATCATTAAATATCAATGAGAGCGTTTAAAAAAACCACCAACCCCAAAGGTCATGCCTAAGCTTAATGCAACAAGTGTTTAGCCTTGGGAATATAATTTATCCATACAGAGTATTCATAAGAAATTTACATATACATATTAGGGAAATTAACAAGATTTATACAAATAAAAACAAATCAGTGAAGTGAATTAATAGATATGAAAACCGGTAATGCCTTAAGAGTTGATAAAAAACGTAATGTTAGCATGGGGGTCTGTTTCTTACAGTTACAAATCATATAAAAAAAGCTTCGAAGTTAATAAAATGGCATCTACATAAAAGCAAGCACAAATTTTAGACAAACGCATGGGAGAAAACACCCGGACAAAGTGCTTTCACAATGAGTGGGCATAAAGGGCACATAGGCAGTGAATCAGATATCAAGTTCAAGTAGCCAATAAGTAGACCGTGGTCTCATAAGGCCACACCAACTGGGCAGATTACAGGTTACTAGAAAAATCTGGCTCCATCAGAAAGCTTGATGCCATGAAGCAACTTAAACTGCGAACTTCAGGAATAGAAACAAATGCTTCAAAAAACAAGCTTCAAGGCCAAGGCTTCAAAGATTCGGAGAGAACTTGGCTTTGAAGATTGTTTTCTAAAACAATGACGACAATGTATGCATCACCGAACAAGGAATAAATGAAAATAAATACACCCTAAATACTAATCTTGTGTTTCATATGACAAGCATGAAAAAGTCCTGGCCCTGCATTAAAAAATGTGATTGGGCACAGGAATTCACAAATTGATTGGCTACAAGCTGGGCAATAGAAGCATGCCATTGACCATTACCCTTTACAGCCGTGAAACAAATGGCACGCTCCTTTAGGCTTTTTCTGGGAATCTTTCAGCTGCGTTGTAGTTAAAAACCTAACCTATCCCAAATTTGATTCTGACAAAAAACAAAAGGAAATCTTTGTAATGTGCCTTACACCTTCATGGCTTTGCGGAGAGAAATAAAATTGAAGAACAAATATCCCCATAATAACAAGTTTATTTCCATGGGCATGGCAGATCAACCACATAACATTACCGAAGCCATAGCATCAAGAAGGGAATCCTAACAAACAGTTTTCGGGTAGCCATTATTGCATAAAATTCATATTAGAACTGAGGTAGGAAAAGCATTCTCAACTCTTAGGCCAGCATTTGCTATACATCTTTTAAACTAAATATTAAAAGATATGTAGAAAGGTGAGTTCATTTCAGAAGAAAGTAGGATAGCACGAAGCAGTTCAAATCGTAACACAAAGACACTAAGATAAACCTGTAATATTAAACGACCAATGATTACATATCAATTTTGCTCATCAATTTATATGACTTAATTTCTCACAATAAATCTGCATAGACAAACCTGATCCACAAAATCGCTCCACTTTTTCCATCATATCTCTCATTTAAATGTTGTTTATTTTATCATGAAGCAAAAGAGGAAAAGGCTATTACCACCGTCACATTACATCAGAGAATCAACATAAAAAGTTCTTGCAAAAGCACAAGAGAATATGACAAGAGAAAGTAACAGTGATGTCGGCAAAGGGATGCAGATAAGTAAAATATTCCATAAAGAGAAGCAGCTGAAAAAAAGTTGCGCATGCCAGTAAAACAATGAACTGAAATAAAACCAAAGAAATCAAATAGGCCTGACCAAATTTCTTTTAAAAGAATATTATCGGTGGAAAACCTCCTAACAGGCTAGTAGGCTATACCACCTTGCCGTTCAGACTAAGTCAGCAATGACATTCAAAAGGAAGAATATTCAGTAAACATTTAGAGAAAAACCAAACCTTTCTTCCTGTGACATTCCAGAATGAATGCAGATAGATGGGAAGTTGCACTCTACTAGCAATTTGTTCAGCTCTGCCGCTCTATTGACACTTTTGACAAAAATTACAACCTGATTGAAGTCCAGAGCATCCAGAAGATCATTTAATTTACGGTTCTTCTCCAAATCACTGAGTTTGATGTAGTGCTGTCAGAAAATAAAAGTTAAATGAGTGCCATATAATAATATAAAGCTAAATGTAGTTTAACTGAAAACTTTCATACCTGTACAAGCCCATGGAGGGTTAGTTTTGCTTCATCATCCACATATATTTCCATTGGCTGTTAAGGGAATAAATGTAAAATTAGCGAAGACTAGCATCTCATCTTCAAGATAGCTGAACCGACAACCAAATGAATGGGCACCAATAAACACCACCAACAACCAATACAATCAATACTCCTGTCCATTTGGCATGTGAATCATAACCTACCCGCATGGAAATCATAATGCTCAAAATTCAAATTGCTTGTCCAATAACTAAACCCTAAAACAATAAATTGACTGCTTCCTGAAGTCCCAGGGGAAAACTTCGACGTGCCCAAACAGTCATGAAACTACTTGCGTAGGTTCCAGACAGTCACAAACCTGACAAGCTACTATCACTGATGAACAATTAAAACAAGAACAAGACATTGCTAGGTTGCATAATGCCTAAAAATTTGAATCCTAATAACACATAAAACTGGCTTCAAATAACTAAGCCATTCCTTGCTTGCACTGCCCTAGGGCTCCTTTACAATCTCAATTCACCAAAGAAGGTATTCCTAAATATAGCTTGGAAAACTGAAAGACATAGTTCTGATCATGAAAGAATGACGTCAAAGTGTAAACTGGCCATGAGACATTACATCTTGCATGAATTTCTTGCAAACAGGGCGTATCTCCTTGCTTAGTGTGGCTGAAAACATCATGACTTGCTTGTCATGTGGAGTCATTTTGAAGATCTCCTGCACATCTCTCCGCATGTCTACAGGGCATACAGAACCGTGAAATGAAATTTTGGAAAGAAAAAAAAAAGCTTAAATAAATTTAATTCGGTATAAATTTTAAACATAAACTATAGAGTAGTATCATGACAAATGATAAACAATCATACCTAGCGACTCTAGCATCTTGTCACATTCATCGAGAATGAAGTGCCTAACATTCCTCAGAGAAAGATCTTTATCCCTAGCGAGTGCCAGAATTCTTCCTGGTGTTCCAACAACTATATGAGGACATTCATTTTTCAGTATGTCCTTGTGCTTTCCAATGTGAACGCCACCATAAAATACAGCAACTTTTATTTCAGGCAAGTAAGTGCTGAATCTCTCGAACTCATGGCATATCTGCAAAACATAACATGCTCCATTTAAGGACAGGTCATAAAAAACACACGGCTGACCTAAAGCTGAAAATAGACAAAGAGAATGAACACTGGTCCATCTACACACATAAAAAATATATGTTAAGGCACTATTTGGTGCAAACCTGGTACGCTAGTTCTCTAGTATGACATAAGACAAGTGCAGCAACTTGACCAGAAATTGGCTCAATTTGTTGAAGGGTTGAGAGAACAAACACTGCCGTTTTCCCCATTCCAGACTTTGCTTGGCAGATGACATCCATTCCCAAAATGGCTTGAGGTATGCACTCATGTTGTACTGACGGATAACCAAAGAAAATTGGAGCGAAGTACCCCCAGTGAGTAAAAAACATAATCATCTGGGTCCTTTTAATTCAAAGCTTTACCATACTCTCCTTCAAACGAGAAAGTGGCAGTAGTGTTTACCTGCAAAGAATTAATACAATAATCGATATAAGTAAAAAAGGATTGTGCTCTCAGTTCAATTTCCAATTTGCTATTGAATCAACATAGAAAATATCTTCCCGAAAATTCAAGATTATTGGACCCTGCACCATATAACTGCGCATTAAATAGATAAACAAAATAATAATACTATCAAAAAAAAAATGTATCTCACGACCATGCAATAAATTCCTAAACTCTTTTCCTAACAATGTTACTTCGAAGTACATTATTTGCATTCACTAATCGCCATCCTTAGCAATATGAAGATGTGGAAATGCTTAGGAGAAGAAGGAATTTTTTGTCTTACTAAACTTTTTAATATTGTTTTGAAGATTAAAAAGATTCCAGATGAGTGGAGAATGAGTGTGTTAATTCCTACTTTTAAGAATAAAAGTGATGCACAAAAGTGTACGAATTATAGAGGAATTAAGCTAATGTGTCATATTTTAAAACTATGGGAGCGAGGTATGGAGCATAGGTTGCGGCGTCATACTAATGTTTCTCAAAATCAATTTGGATTCATGCCGGGTAGGTTTACTATGGAAGCCATACATTTATTGAGAGGTTTGATGGAGAAATATAGAGAGAATAAGGAAAATCTATATATGATATTTATTGATTTAGAGAAAGCATATGATAAAGTTCCAAGAGAAGTGCTATGGAGAGTTCTTGAAAAGAAAGGAGTTAATAACGCTTATATTCAAATCATTAAAGATATGTATACAAGAGCTATTACTTGTGTTCAAACACAAGTATTTTCCTATTTCGGTTGGATTACATCAAGGATCAGCCTTAAGTCCATATCTTTTTGCTTTAGTCATGGATGTTCTCACTAGACATTTACAAGAGAATGTACCTTGGTGTATGCTTTTTGCTGATGATATTCTTCTTGTTGATAAGACTAGAGAGGGAGTTAAGGGACAACTTGTGCATTGCCAAGCTTCCAAAGAGTGAAACATTGTGCTATTACTTTTGTTCAAAAAAAGTTACATTCATGGTCCCCTAATGATTTCAGACAATATTTCTCCGCAACACAGTTCATTATAAAGTTGCTAGCTAACTAATTAAAATCAGAGCTCCTTACTTGATTAATCATGCCCAGTTTACTTTCATTTCAAAAAGAGACGGTGCTAATTAATATTTCTATGGCTACTGACCTTTTAGGGATTTCAATCTTTCTAATTCTCTTCAACACATTTGTCCATAGATGAATCTTCATAAAGGATTTGAGTGGACTTGCTAAAAAGGTAGACAAAGCTATCTAATAACTGGATTAATGTTTGCATCAAGGTCCTATTCTCGATCATTATAAATAGGGGACTCAAGGTTATTTCTACTATGCCAATAGCAAGGTTGTCGTCTCTCACCCTCTCTTTTCACTATTGTTATGGAAATTCTATATTATATGCTTGAAAAAAACTATTTGCAAGGATCCTTCAATGCACTATAAAACACAACAATATCTCTATTTCTTATCTCTTTTTTGCTGATGACCTACTCATTTTTGGCAAAGCCAATCAGAGTATCATACACCATATCAAAAAGATGCTTCATGAATTCTCCTTGAGTGGGTTTAATGCCAAATCCATACCAATCTGCATTAATTTTTTTCTAAAGCATTGTTCCTTTTGATGCCCAACTATAGGCCTTCTTGGTATCACCTACAGGTTTTTTCGTGGAAGCATTTGAGTGTAATGGCTCCTCTAACAAGCTCACAATCATTGATTGTCATCCCATTCCAAACAATCTCATAGATTACCTCAATGGTTGGAAACAAAAACCCTTGTCATTCCCTGGTAGATGGTAGTTCATTAAAACTATTAATTGGAATTACCTATCTTAAAGGATGAGATGCATATTCAACCCAAAGGGGTTTATTAAAAAATTACAAGCTTGATTGCTAACTTCATCGTAAAAGGTGTATAATTGCTTGAAATATGGGTATTCCACCTCTTGACACTCTTAACACGATATGTAAGGCTAAAATAATCTGGACGATTTATAATTCTAGTAATTGCTATGTTGGTTGGTGCCTTAATTACAATGGTTTCAACTTGAACAGGTGTTCTTTCAGTCTCAACAATTTAGGAAGCAATGAAATACACTGCTATCAAAATCAGAAGGTGGATCAACTTCAATATTTGCAGTAATAGTTCTCTATTTATTAAAGATTTTAATCATGTAATTTTCAACTACATGCCTAGAAGATTTAATAGGGCTGCTGATTTCTATGCGAAGCTTGCTCTTTCTTCCTCTTTTTTATGGAGGCAAGAGCAAGATTTTAATTCCTTCATGTTTTTGTTAATATCCTTGAGGAGGATGCTTTTAGACCTCCTTAGGATAGCATTTGTATTTTTTTTCTTAGTTAATAAATGCCTTTTCATGGCTTTTATTCAAAAAAAAAAGTAATAGTTCTCTATTTATTTAATATGACCTGGGGATATCGAGCCAATCTATTAATGATATTCTTGTTTTCACAGCTATTTCTTTGGAAAATGAAAGTATCTTGATGTTGCTAGTATTTTGGATAATGGTGCTTTGGATCCTACCTGCTCCTACCTTTTTAATTAAGGCTAGCTATCTTCAAGATATCTAGAATTTAAGTAATTTCTATTCTGTAAAGAATATCACTTGGATTGGGAAAAACACGTACTCCTCTATGTAAGTACCATCTATTCTGTAAAGAATATCACTTATATTCCAACCAATGACTAGCATAAGCTCATTAGTTTCAAAGGTTACTCAATGAAATTCATTTGTCCTGCTTGGAAGATCAAATTTTGGGGGCTTAATAAAGATTTGCTTGCAAATAAGGGTTTACTCCCAAGACATGGGGAACTTTCTTTCATATGGGTAGATTTTTTCAAACAACTTATTGAGTTTGCTGACAATATTTTTTTAGAAAATTACTAGAAGTTTTCCGCCTACTCTAGAAGAGTTATTATACTCTTACAATTGGATTTCACAATACTTTTTGTTGGGTAATGATGATACTTTAAAATGAGGTTCAACAAAGGTAGTTTGGCCACCTTTATCATGATGCTTTAAATTCTGTAGATGATATATTGAATTTCATCCAATCAATTAAGGCACTTCATTGCTCTTAGTCTCTTGGAATTAGGGGTGTCAATATAGACCAAACCCAAAAAATTCCGAGTTCAAATCAACCTGTTTGACAAACACGGGTCAAGGTTCAAATTTCTGACCATTATTTGGAATATTCCTTTTTCGGGTCGGGTTTGAGTTGACCCAAAAACTCGAAGTTGACCTGGATCCCCGCGTCACAGCCATGACTCGACTCGATCCACACTCGCGCCTGCCTCGCCCACGCCCGAGGCTCAACCCTGCGTCTTGCAAGCCCACAACAACGGTCTGCCTCGCGGCCATTGCTTGCACGCATTGCTAGCCCAGCACCGGCACACCTGCTGCCTACCTTGCCTGCGGCTCGACCCGCCTCCGGCCTCCCGCACCCTCCCCCCGCCTCCATACCTCACCCTCACTCACCCCGCATTCGCTATTCTCTTCCTTCGCTCAACCCCGAGCACGCACAGCCCGTGCTCAACCCCACGCAGGCCAGCTCTCATGCTACAATGCTGCACCCTGTACACACCCACGCCCGCTGAACTCGCTCTCCCTTGCTGTGTTCCGGGTTCGCGGGTCGAGTTAGGTCAACCCGATAACCCACGTAGGTCAAATATGGGTTGGATTTTCGTCTGCAAAAACAGAGCGGGCTCGATTCATGTCAAATAGTTGCGAGTCAATATCGGGTTTGACTTGAACCCAACCCTCAACCAAATTTTGACACCCTATTTGGAATGTTGCTCTGAAACCTATAATGCTTAATATTTATTTGAGACCATATTTATGTCTTCTACTTTCCCACATCAAGATTTTAACTATTTTTATTGCCTTTTTTCGTTTTCTCTAACACAAAGTTTCTTGTTCCTTAGCTCCCAATATAAAGTATGTTTCCCTTTAGATGAAATTCTTGGTGTGGCCCTCAAATCTCCCCTGCCAAAAAAAAAATTTCTCTGCCTGCATATTCTAGCAAACTATTCACTTGAAAAACAGCAACTCAAGAAAACTAAAGCAGTAAAATAAAAATTTTTTATGATGATATAAAGATCAAGAGAATCATTCATTACAATTTCCAAAATGAAACTCTTATCAGTAGTTCAAACATCATAGAAGAATTTAAATCAACTCAAAAAAGTAGAGAAAGATTGATTAAATGATCCAGCAATGCCAAATGATACAAATCTGTATATAATCCACATGATAAAAAACAACAAAAAAAACTATTTTCCAAGTGAATATGAGATTGGAAACTTTGGTTTGAAAAATGATCCTTATCACAAATTTGGTATTGACAAGTCCATAGCTTCACAACTTAATAATTTAGTAATACCAAAGTACAACATTCAGGCTAAATGATCAGCACATAAACTTCTCTATATAGGAGTAAACTGCTACCTCGCAATACACCAAATATTGGATGCTAAGACCTCCCCATACTTTTCTGCTATAAAAGATAAGAGAGCAAGTTTGTTTCACACTAGAGTTCACAAAATGCCACACGGCCCACACTTTGAAAAAAAAAATGAACTTTTCCTCCTGCTATGTGGGCCAAAACACACCCAGAAAACTCAAGGCACATATTTCAATGAAAAATTGGCAATGTTATCATAAAAGAAACAAGAAAATAGAGAAAACAATCGAGTAAATACTCGGCACAACATTACACATTTTTCATGATTCAGTGTTTGCATTGCTCTTGCCAAAATATCTTACATATAAACAGCATAAATAACATACAATATTAACCTATGCTTGATAAGTAATATAGTGGTAAAAAGAGTTAAACTTTTCAAAATCATTCAGTAATACTACAAAGTTCTAGCATGATATATACATGTGCTAATGAGATGAAAAGCATTCAATTCTGCCAAGGCACCCGCAGAATAGACTCATAAATACAGAATGCAAAACAATAGAAGGCCATCAATTAAGAATTTTGAAACAACAAAACCCAAAAATAGAACGGATTAAACAAAACCAAAATAGTCAATAAGTGAAATATTAGGAGAAGACAAGCTTAAATACTACTTATGTAAAAGTTCCTACTTCATTTACTCTTCCTTGGGCGCTCTCTAATGATGTAGAATGAAATATCAACTCTGAACATACAGCAAAGTAAGAAAAGACAAAATGGAGATACAAATAAATATTCCATGTTTGTAATGTTAGTTATACCAATGCCCTGAGTGAAGTGATTCTTCTTCAAGACTCAAAAATTTACCTTACACAACAAACTAGACTGCAAAAGAAAATGAACAAACTATTTCAAGCAGACTTTTAAAGGAAATGTTATGATATCAATGATAATCTAAAAGAAAAAGACAGTGTAAACAATAAAGGGTCTTACTTACCTTCAGATGGGTGCTCAAATCCAGAATCAACTATAGCCCGTAGAAGTTCTGGTTTCAACAAAAAATCTCTAAATCCGGAGCTGTGGATTCCTACATAACCCCTGATTTCGATCAAGCAACCAAAAGAGATTATTACCAATTATATCAAGCACTTAAATAATTCAAGTTAATAAGAACACTCCTAAGACTTTGGCATCCAAAATGAAATTAGAGCGTTGCAATGGAAAATTTCCACAAAAGCATCAACTCTAAAATGGGTCACCGATTGATAGAGCACTGCAAATGCCATTGATATAAATGCTCACACATATGTACCATTAAAGCCACAAAAATGTGTACATGAACTTGCTATGCTATTCAATTGTGATAGAATAAGCGCAGGAAGTTCTTTTACAAGTTATAACTAAAGAATACAATGTTCAAATATTAATAGACGTCAACAGACAATCTAATTCACTATAACTAGAAAATTAAATTACAAGATTGAACCAAACAGAAAATTTTCAAGCATAGAAAACTTCTGCTTCACATTACACTAGGGCGAAAGTTTATAGATCCAAAACCAGATGATTCATAGAAAAAAAATTATTTTTTTTTTAGAAAAATAATAGCGAACAACAGGTAGGTTTATACATGGAAATAAAGGGAAGGAAGTGAAGCATAGATCGATACCAATTTATTGTAGATACAAATTGAGTACATGAATTAACACGAGGAGATTTGCTTACTTCTTTGCTGATTCACCATTGATTTTTACACCAAGAGAGACAGTGGCCTTCTCTTCTTCATCATCATAGTCGAGAAGCTCGTCCTCGTAGACGTCGTTTTCCCTTACTTCACCCATCCTACAATTCAACGAAATATTAAATCTACAGATCAAGAGCACCCTAAAACAACGAGCAAATATACATACATATACAAGCAACCCGCGGACAATCACCTTAGAAAGAAGTATATTCGACAGACGTCGGCGTACAGAACAATGGATTCTGCAAGAAAAAACTATAATTGAGAAAGTGGAGACCTGGGCTAGGGTTTCTACGGTGATCAAGATAAGGAAATTGGAACAGAGAAGACGCTAGGCTTTCCAAACAAAATAGAAAAAAAAAAAAAAAGGATTGAATGGAGGAAAGAAACAAGAAGAATAAGACCTAGGGTTTCTACTGGGAGGGAACTGCAAACAGAAAACAAAAAAAAAAAATCCCCAACTAGGGTTTCGAGAGACGGAAGGACGAGACAGAAAGGTTTTGCTTGCCGGCGGATTTTTCTTTTTTCCCCTTTTAGACGCGTACATTATTTGAGGTGCTCGTTGACCGCCACCATCCACCGTCCGTTAAACAAGTGGCCCAGGGCGAGTAAGCGCCCTTGAACTCTTAGAATATTTGATTGAAAATAAATATAAGAATTTTGATGGTTGAAATTTTAGCTCTTATCTTATTTAAAAAATTAGGATGCAATTCTTGAGATTATTTATTCATCACATTTAAATAATAAAAAAATAATATTATATGATCCAATTGGGGTGGTTATAATTCTTGTAATAATTTTTTTTAATTATTAAGAGTAATTTTTTTAATAAATTGAATGACAACTTTCTTAGAAATACACACTTAAGTAGATCTAGTTATAAAAGATAATTTCACATCATAGAAATTTGTAAAAAAAAAATAATAATAGTTGTTGTGTGTCGGAACATTTGCGACAATAGAGAAATAGGGTGCTTAACGTCATAGTTTTATACGAAAATTCAGCACACACGTAGATAAAAAATGGGTGCAAAAGTCATAAGAGAAACCTTAATTTTAATTTGAAAAATCTGAAAAGAGAAAAAAAATCACGGAGACTAACAATTTTTCCCTCTTATTATGGGGAGAATTGGGGCCTATATAAGAGTAGTAGGCTTTGATCGGCATTGACAGCCTCCAAATTTTTTTCAATCAAATTTTCCATTATTTTACAGATAAATCATAGACTAGCTCAGAAGAACTGTACTTACCTCTCATCCCTGAGGATATTTATAGATCCAAAGGAGCATAACATTTGAAAAAAAATTCTAAATTTTTTTCAAGGTTTTTGGATTTTTTAAATAAAAAAATCATTTTTTAAATAAACAAAATAGCAAAAATATTATGTTAAAATAAAAGTATATATCCATCAATATATAGTTATTTCTTTCTTTCTTTTCTAGAGAATTTTTTTTTATTTTTTTCCTTTAAAAAAAATAAAAAGGAAATAATTAAAAATTAAAAAAAATCCTTCTTGGGTGCCATATGCACGCATTTATTCTCTTGTCTTGCGTGCGCGTGGGTGGGCCGTCGAAGGCAGGCCTGACTAGGGGTGCAAACAAGTCGAGTCGAGCTCGAGTTAGGAGGTGTTCGAGTCGAGCTCAACTGTCAAATATCGAGCTCGAGCTCGAGCTCGAGCTCGAACTCGAGTCGAGCTCAAAAATTGAGCTTGAGCTCGACTCGTTCCACTGTAATCGAGCTCGAGCAGCTCGTCGAGCCCAAAACGAGTCTAGTTCGCCTTCCAACGACACACATGGCACAATCTTCAAAAAAATTAATTCTCATTTTTAATTTGACTTAAAAGTAAAATTTAGGCGGGACTGCAGGAAAGAGAGAGAGAGAGAGAGAGATTGAGATTTGAGCTTTTTTTTTTTTTGCTTTGTCAGAAAATGAAATGAGTGTTAGCCGTTTTTGCATTTATTATAGATAAGAGAGGTCAAATCAAACTATCAGAGAGAGAGAGTGAGAGAAAGAGGAGTTTGAAATTCAAGCGGGATTTTAAAATTTCAACCAGTAAAAATTTAAGCTATCTCTATTTCCCATTATTAATTTTTTAAATATTTAAATTTATTAAATTCGAGCCGGCTCGCGAGCTCGCGAGCCGAACCTTATCAAGCTCAAACTCGAGCTCGTTTAATGAACGAGCTCGAACTCGAGCTCGAGCTCGACTCGTGAGCTCGATAAGCTCGGCTCGCGAGCCTTAAACGAGTCGAGCTCGAACTGGCTCGGCTCATTTGCACCCCTAGGCCTGACGGCCAATTTTGGTGCTGGTTTTCATCCTGGCCCACTTTTTTTGGCCCGAACAATAAAATTCAGCCTTTTTAGGCTCCTTAGGATTATTTTTCAATATTTTGGATTTAATTTAAACACTTTTAGAGCCCAACAAAACCTCTATAATCAGTTTCAAACAAGTTTAAAAGTTTTAGAGAGAATTCTTTTTACATTTCTTCTTCGATCGACATGCCAACTTCATGAATCGTTAAAAAAAGTATGATCAATGGCATTTTACTTGAGGTGTTGTTTGGTTAGCTGTAAAGTGAATACAGTGTAAAATAAATATTTTACAATGTTATTTTGTTTGAAGTAAGTGAATTCAGGGGAATTGATTTTTCTGTTTAGTTGGATGTATGCAAAGTAGTAAAGTAAAAAACGGCCTTACCAAAAATTACAGCCTCTGAGACATTTACCCAAACGCCTTGAGTGCATTCACCTATATCTACATGATTAAGATTGGCCGCAACAGGAAGATTTACACAATTGTAGCTGGAAGAATCATTAACAAACAAATCCCTTCCAATAACATTTTCCAAGCAATTCAAATTGGTGTCATTATCCCCACACGGAACGCTCGAGTGCAGGTCACGAACGTGGACAAGTTCGCCATAATCATAGCTGGGCAGATCGTGATTGGCATCAACATTTTTCAAAATACTCTCCATCGCAATAAGTATAGATGTTGGATCAGCATTGTCCTTGGGTAAAAATCAATCACCTTGACGTCTGTCCCGCTCCACAGAGGTAGATTTGAACACTTCATTATACTAGTTACTCTTGATTCCGCCCTAACCCTCCTGAAGATGAGCTGAAGAAGCTGAGAAGATGGAATTAATGACCAAGGGAACATCGTCGGATGAGTGAAGTGAATGTCGTGGAAGGAGTGATGTGAGCTGAAGAAGCTACTTTTGCTAAAGCTGATCTCACGCAAAGCACCGAAGTCTCAGCAGCGGCGAAATAGAGAAGATGAAAAGCTTTCATGGAGGAAGAAACGACGATGGTTCCCGCGGCCTTTTCTCTTTTTCAGTAGCATGATATTCTTTTTCGCTTAAAACATACGAGTTTCTTTTATGCACAAAATGAAGTATAGCAGGGGTTTAGAATATATTAGTATTTTATTTTACTTTACATTGTGTCAAATCAAATACCAAAAAGTAAAAAAAATCATACATTTAGTTTAATTTGCATTCACTTTTCCACCAACCAAACAACTCCTTCGTTTATGACCTTGATAGGAAGTCGGCATTAACGTCTATAGAGCGAGAGCACCTCATAATTTGTCTGAAATTATAATTTTTTATTGACAACTTTTCAAAATGTTCTGACACATTTTCAAACTATGTAAGTTTCAATGTTCAAAAATAGGGAGCAACTGTTACATCACCAAAAATAGCCTTAAACAAAAACCTCGAGGTATATTTGAATTGAAAGCTTTCAAAACTAAACTAAGGACCAATTGAACTCATATTTTAGCAAACTTATAGTTAAATCAAATGTCTCGGCAAGACAAACTCATCGACACTAAAATCGATCAAATTCGAGCCCAAAAGGGACCAAATCAATGGCCTAAAACAAATTTGGAAGCATAAGAATATTAATTGGATGACAAATGATCTTTAAATATAACATACTTGTAGTCTAAATGAGTGGCTCGATGAAACGAATCCAACAAGTCCAAGATCGCTTAATTCTGATATTATTAATACACTTGAATGTTTAAGGAATACTCCATTAACAAGGGAATCAATAAGGGTCATCTGATGGAGCTAGCGGTGTAAATGAGTTTGGCCAACTCGTGAGCCTGCTTGAACTTAACTCGCTAACGATCGTGAGTTGAGCTTATTGAGCCAATAGCTCAAATATCAAATAAGCTCGAGTTTGAGTTTGATTAAACTCAGCTCGTCGGTTCACGAGCCAGTTTAAATAAATTAAATATTAAAAAAATATTTTTGCACTTGTAATGAATATTTAAAAATATTCTTTGCATTATAAATATTTAAAAGTATTGTTCAAAACAACAACTTTTAAAAGCAAATGTTCTACCATATTAACTTTACATATTTACCCAAAATAAAATTATTCTTTGTTTTTTCAAGAAAAAACTTTACTAGGCTACTAACTTCCTTCGTGCCCGTTGAGTTAGTTCGACAAGCAAAATTTTGGTTGTTTTATATGCTTGAGTTCAAGCTCATTTTCTAGCTCAACTCAAGGTCAAGATTTCAAGCTATTAATTTCAGTGGTGAGTCAAGCTCGAGCTTACTGTGGCTTAAGCTCAACTCAATTCATTTACACCCCTAAATGGAGAACTCTACATTTGTTCTGATTCTTCTTTATATTTACGGAGTTTACCACTCTCAAAAGCTATAAATATACTCTTATCCCTACATGAAGGGGATATTTGTCCCGGGGGGGGGGGGAGGTCTTGGTTCGTGGGCTATAGATTCAAGATATCTCTAAGGCATGAATCCCAGAGCACCACATCTAGAAATCCCCCACTTCTTGGCTGATACCACCGACTTTCACCAGCTGACCACAATCCTTTCGACATCCGTCACCCGATTATAATCCTTATGACACCTTTTGTTTACCGATTACAGTCCCTCTGACCATTACCACATGATAATAATCTCTCCAACATCTTTCATGCATTGATTATGGTCTTTCAACCTTAGTCACCTGACTACAGTCCTTTTGACCTCTATCATCTACTAATTATGATACTTCTGACCATCATCATCTAACTATGATCCTTTAACCTCAATCTCTCGACCATTGCCTTCTGACCTCAATTATATGCCAACTATGATCCATCTTCTCTTTATCGCCAGATAATGATCTCATCAACCTCAATTGCCTGACTATGGTCCCTCCAACATCTATTATCTGATTATGGTGCCTCCAATCATAATTGTTGGCCAAATATGGTCCCTCTGACCATCATCGCACAACAATAATCCATCTGACCTCTATCGCCCACCGATTATAATCCTCAGACCACTATCATCTGACTATAGTTCTTTCAACCTCAGTTGATCACTGATAACCATCCCTCCAACCTCTGTCCCATGAATATGATCCCTTCGATCACAGTTCACTGCCAACTACGGTCCCTTTGATCACAGTCACACGAGAACGATCCCTCGGACCTCTGTCTCCAACTGACTATAGTCTTCAGACCACCTTCACCCTAGTACGGTCTTTCCAACCTCA